ATTGCTTATTTTTGTTGCTAAGGAATTCAATTTTGACTGACAAAGGAGCGTGCCTTTAGAGGGTGTTCCAACACTCCGAAGGGTATAACTAGCGGGACCTTTCAAGAATCGATTCCTTGCAATGAAGCACATATGCTCAGTCTTGTAAGCGGTCACGGTAGTCGACACATTTTCTGTGATAATTGACTGCCTTTGCCTCCGACATTTGCAAAACAAGCTATCATAGTACAGTACCAAACTAAAATGTCGTATGACAGGCTCTGTCATACGACACTGTCGCCGAAGACCGTTACGAATGTGTGTATTTTAGTTTTTCTCATAATAAGAACTGCTGATGGTGTGCTTGTGTGAATTCTGAAAATAGCAAGCAATGATGTCCTAGTAATAATATTTCTGATCAGAAATGGTTTGATTTACACCAAATTGAGGAATTACAACGAAATCACACATGTCATATGATAGCTATTTTGATAATTTTCTTTTAGCTCGAATGTTATTCTACCGCTCGTGTTGTGTGAGAGAGACGACGGTAGAGCATGAGTGTTCGAATACAAACAGACTGTCGCGCACGACAACGAAGCGCGTGTAGTAAAAAAACGTCAACTGTTTCAACCCCTGCATATGCTTTAGAACATCCTGGCGGCGCCCACTGGGATTGAATCTAGGCCTGCTGGGGTGAGAGGTAATCACGCTTACCACTACACCATCATCGGCGCTGCTCGAGAGCGTCCATGTACGGTTGAAATCTTTCACAATGTCCAGGGAAACCAACTCCTTATGGCGATGGTTATCCTTGGCGTCTTCTAGTGTCTAAAATATGGGGATGTTCCGTGGCCTTGCCGGAATGCGTGTTGTCGATGGTCTAGAAGGCCGCCAGCCTCGAGAAACTGCTTCAGACGTCGGTTGACCATCCGCTCGAACACCTTTGCCATACAGCAGGTGAGCGCAATGGGCAGGAACTTCGCTACACCCGGAATCGATTACGAAAACGGCGCGTTCTTTTTTTCAGCCGCTTTGGTTTGGTTGACCATGAAGGCATTTGCGTCGGCTCCGGTAATCTTGACTCGGCAGTATTTTTGCATGTGGCCAGTTTTTCCACAGCGGTGCAACTTTCCGTTGAACGTCCGCCAACGAAAGCAGCAGGTTTCTCCTCAATCTAATAGTCCGCTCGATCGGCACGCTTCGACTCTTCTCCTAGCAACCGTTGTTTAACGGTTTCCATGGTCATTTCCTTCTCATCGATGTTTTCCAGTGCGGTCACGAGTGGGTCAAAACTGTCTGGTAGCGCCAGGAACAGCTGGGAAACCAGATCGTTTTCCTCCAGCAGTTTTGAGCTGTCACACCATTCGGCAAAATGGCTTCTCATTGGCGTACCTTGTAACCCGACAGCCTTACGAGTTTCCCGTTTTTAGTAAAAATGGCTTAAGCGCCACTCCCGAGGGAGACCATCTACCGAGACTAGGGTTGCCCGACCATATGAGACCTTTCAGGGAAGGTTCTGTTTTTCTCAAATGAATGAGCGGGAAGCAAGTTGGCTGTTGATCGATTACGGTAAGGACGGAAATGCCCACGACCTATGGTCGTGAAAGAATCAAATAAAAGAATGAAGCATTCACGAAAACGATTTCTGCCACCGATGAATAGCAATTTCATCATCACGGGCAGGCTTGACACAACACTTCGAACGGATCCCGTTCGAATAGAGAGAAATCCTGGCTGGTTTCGGGGCCAACTTCCCCAGTAAAACTCTGCAAAAACTTCAAAAGAAAACGACCGGAAACGTGAAAAAGCCTTACATTCGCTTTTCTAGATCACTTTGGGAAATGATGAACAAAAACTTTTTATCTGTAGTGTGTTGGTTTATTGAAAACGCCTCCTATTCATATTCAAACTACCTCTTGTTCATGCTGGTTTATTTTTGTACTTCTACGTTACCGACAATTTATTATTCTAGGCCTATCTCAAATTCATTCCCTCTAGTTAGCTATCCTTTTCTTCTTTCTTCTTCTGGCGGTATTTATTTAGTGTGCTGTGCGACGAATTGACGAGTGCACAGATGGATTTGAGTTCACTCACTCGACAAAAAGTGACACAACAGCGGGGCCCTGTTTACTAAAAATGAACACATATATGTTCATTTTTAGTAAACAGGGCCCCGCTGTTGTGTCACTTTTTGTCGAGTGAGTGAACTCAAATCCATCCGTGCACTCGTCAATGGTGTTCATTTTGTGTGTGCTACCAAAAAGCTGTTTGGCGTTACCGACGCTTGCGCGGATCGGAATGGGTAACGGCTGAATGAACAGCGGCCACGCTAGCGGTTATGCTATGCTAGGGGCTTTAACTCACCATGCGCATGGGATTTTTGTGAACATGCATGTTACTCACGTTTTGACTCGCTACTTGCGTGGAGGAATTGGCGGTTGCTCGATGATGCCGGTTGGACCCACGTGTACCACACGTGATACTCCTACGGACTCCGAAACTATGCTACTGCGGACTGCACATAGCCGATGTCGTTTTCCAACTACGCCTCACACGCTGAGTTGTGGTTTTCTACTTAGACGGGGTACGGCCGTCGCCTCGATGGCCTAAATTAACAAACTTAAAGATAATTTCACGTTTACTAATTCACCTTTAAATTCACACCACGGCGCGATAACTGAAACTCGGACCGCTCTCGCCTCTTCCACAAACCAGAACGAAGTGAAAGAATCAAGTCTGAAGGTCCTCAGATTAGGCGCAAGAATTGCAATCTTCGTCGCCGGAAATTACGTGAAATCAACGAAGTTGATTTTCACGAAGTTCAAAAAATCGCCTTCACGCATACTATTTTTTTGTGAAAAATTACGAAGGAAGGCATTCTCCTTCTATCAAGTTAACGCATATGCCAATTCGCTTCCCACCCGAAGTGCATGAAAGGATGGGACGGGTCAACAAATCCTGAAAGCAGAATTGTGCAGGTCGATGTCCGTGCGTTTACGCGTGGTTTGCTTAGACTCTTCGTTTGGCTATCGAATTACGCTTTGGCGCCCGAAATGGTACAGAGAACTCATTTACCATCTAATGAACATTTCGGTGAGTGAACTTTTTGCGAACGCTTCATGCGTCAAGGGGTAATTCGATGGTGTTTGAAACATTAAAACTTTTTACATTTTGATTTTTATAATATGGCACCTGCCACAACCTTCCTTCATGCGTAGCATGTCCAGCTGCTTGCGCAAGATAGTCTGACTTGCCACAGACTTCTTCGCAAACGTGTATAACAGCGCTTTCCACATGGCTTTCGTAGTCGTCTTTTCCCGCACGATTCATCGCAGGCACTCGTCGCCAACGAATCCAACCAACAAGAATTTTGCTTCCCGGTCCATCATCAAAAATTTGTTCTTCTGTTCATCTTAGGCTGTAGGTACGTCCTCCGTGAGCGCGTCTGAAACTTCCGCGGCTTCCAAAAACAGCTGCACCCGGAATCGCCAGATCTCGTAGTTTGTACCGTTCAGCTGGGCAATACCAGCACCGTCCTTCACTGTGGAGCCCATAACCTCAAAGAACTACTGTCTTCCGGAGCACAGAAAAAACTGACACGACGATGTAAACGTAACTTGAAAGGTTTATTGAAACGAATTAAAAAACCACAAAAGCAATGATGTACCAAAAATATTCCATACGATTTGACAGGTAGCAACACGTCATTATCATTTTCACATCATTTTCATCTGCTGGTCGACCGTAACGTAAATTCATCAATAGAGTTCTCCAGATGCACAAAAGTGTGCGTGAGACCGCGCGCTACCTTTTTAAGTAGTTGTGATATCGCGATACCTTTTTGTTTCTTCTTCTTCTTCTTCGTTTTTACGTATGGATGTTGGATTTTAGTGTTCGTGAGATTGCGCTTGGAGATCTCTATAGATTTTTTACCCTGCAGGTGTCAAGGCGATCGATTCAAATAAAAAACCGCCTACTGTGTGTAGAGTCCTAACTTATGATAATAAATGGTAATATTCAATTCAGTGTATTCATGCTGAATCCAACAGCAGCATCGGTGTGCTGACAGCTACTACAAGAGTATGTGTGAACATACTTAATTTCGAACTAGATGTGGCTGGATCCCACAACTGTCATGGTGTGGGTGTGAGCAAGATATACGTCGTGGGATAAGAGGGCGTAATAATGATGTGGGGCTTTTGGCTGTGAATACGATGCTGAACGGCAGCAAACAAACGTGGCTCCTATTAAGGCTGTGAACAATTTGCCGAGTTAAATTTATCTCGTGGTTAAAAGTAACATTTCGAAAGTTATTTTCTATGTTCGAAAATCTCTGTGCTATCGATCGACCGGTTTTCGAGCCACGGTTGTCAAAATTTAACTTCTTGTCTGTCAGAAATTACCATGCTCCGATAGCAGGGTTAATCGATAACTTTTCATCTGTCAAATTTTAACCAAAAGCTAAAAAATTCGCCAAATGGTTCAGAGCCTAAGGCTGTGTTCCATTTGTAATTTTTTTACTGAAATTTGACACTTCGAAAATAAAGATGTTAGAAAATCCCTCTGTTGTTGATCGGCAGATTTTCAAGAAAGCGTCTGTCAAAATTGATTCCTTGACTGTCAGAAATAAATCTGCTGAAATAGTAGGTTTATTTGAAAATTATTCATCTGTCAAATTTAAGTGAGAATTCACCAAATAGAACACAGCCTAAGTTGCTGTGGGGATTCTACACTGCGTTTTCAGTAGTTAATCCGAAACATCTGGCACAGGTTTCAACAGGGCCTGTTTTGGAACCAATCTTTTTGTATCATCAAAGCTAAAGAGGCTGAATTTTTGAATAAGAGACGACATGTCAAAATTGGAACGCTTGGCTGACATTTATATGACAAATTAAACAGTTTTAGTTTTTTTTCAATTATCTTTGCACTCAGTAGCGCCATTTTGTTTTCCTACACTGGGGAAAAAGTTCACCTGCCTGTCCGAACAATTATCCATCAACGAAACGAAATGAACCTACCTGTGCCCGGTCGTACTTGAGCCGCTTCCAGATAGTGTTCCGCGCGGACGACGCCACCTCGCCCGGATGGTGGTGGCACAGCCCATCGACGCCGTTGTAGTTGGGATTGGTGAACGTCAGGACGTCGCTTCCGCTGCGGGACGTTTTCCTACTCTGTTTCCGTTTGGAATTCACAATCAGCACTGGATCAGCCACGGCGATGTATGACACCGGCGAGGCGATCAACGATCAAGAGTAAGTGTAAGCGAATTTGATGCGATTCAGAGAGATGAATACACACACATACATAGAACAGATGAAACACAGGCGTTTTGTTAGTGATGAGCTGATGCTTTTGTGGAGGGTAAGGGAAAAGGTGGAAATGGGCACACTAATTGGTTGGAATGTTACCTAGGATGGCGATCACTACTATAATGAGCAAACCGGCCACGATGGCCGTGGCAATGATGACCAACTGGGCGTGCATTTTGTTTTTGTTGAGCATGGTGGATCCGTTGGATTTGGGTGGTTTATCAGGTTCTATACTGTGGATTATTTCGTCGTTGTGTTTGATCGGCACACTGAAAGCAGGTTCCAGACGGCAGTGCTTCTCGTCCTGAACATCCGGACAGCCGCAGACGTAGCGTGTCTCGGCGAAGAGGCACAGATGGCTACAGCCACCATTGTCCTGGCCACAGGGGTTCCAATCGTGTGGTTGTCGACTTCCGGACACCGATCGAATCTCCAGGGCACCTCGAAGGCCATAACGGACTTCCTCCACTGGAGCGGCGACCCGCTTCGGAGCTCTCTGGACCGATTTGTTGTGCCAATCGGTCCAGTACATGTAGCCACCGGTCAGCGTGAATCCGAACGAATGTGCAGCTTGGGAAATTACTCGCAAGCGGCTTTTTCCATCAAAGTCACACATCTCGATCCGATCATGCTGAGCGTCAGCCCAATACAGCTTCTTCATCTCGAAGTCAATAGCCAACCCCGTGGGGAATCCGAGCTCCGAATCGATAATACTGCGCCGCTCCGAACCGTCCATGTAGGCTCGATCGATTCTCGGTGCCTGTCCCCAGTCGGTCCAGAACATGAAACCACGCTTCGGGTACAAAATTATCGACCTCGGGTCATCCAAACCCCTCAGTATGGCCTTGCGACAGGTTCCATCCAATCTGGACACTTCGATTTTCTTTAGAGCCGCATCGGTCCAGTACAGGTTGTCGGCCAACCAGTCCACGGCAATGCCATTCGGTGTACTTAAGCCTGTGCTGGCGATGACCTTGGAGTTGGAGAAGTCATTGATGCTGACCCGCCGGATCGCATCTACATTTACGTCCGCGTAGAAGATGTACATTAGATCAAAGTGATAGTCGAGTGCCACCACGCCGTGAACTCCCTCGATCGGGAGCACTACGTCGAACATGTCCTGAGTGTCTAGCGAAATGCGACCGATGCCGGAGCGGAGAGCGATCAGTAGATATTCCTGCGAAATTGAATGTCAATTAAGATCGGTTTTCCTTCAACAGCCCATCCCACCATACTCACATCTGGAATAGTCTTACACTCCTTGTTGCTACCGTCCCTCATCAACAACCCTGTGGGACACTTGCAGCTAAAACCCGCGGGAGTCCTCAGGCAAATATGCGAACAGCCACCATTGTTCTTGCCACACACATTCTCCTGCCTCTCGCCCTGGTCCAGCACAACCTTGACATCCATCAGTTCCTCCAAATCCTTGGCCACCTTGCGAATCTTGCTAGCGTTGATCTTGGACACGGAATGCAACGCCTTGGTTACCCAATCAGTCCAGTAGACCGTACCTGTGGTCACTGTTAGAGCATGCGGATGCGACAGATTGTTCAGCAGTACCTTTCGCGAGTTTCCGTTGAAGTCACAGGACTCAATTCTCTTGTGCTTGGAGTCCGTCCAGTAGATGCGTTTCTCTACACTGTCCACCGCCAGACCATTGATATAGCCCAGATCCGTCGTGACAATTCGCTTCCGGTGTTCCCCGTCCATATCGGCCCTCTCGATGACCGGGTCCTTCCGCCAATCGGACCAGAACAGATAGCCACTGTCGTAGTCCATAGCAATACCCTTCGGATGGGTCAGATCGTGCCAAACGAGAACCGTTCGTACGCTCCCATCCAGTTCGCTAACCTCGATCGAACAGCGCGCGGCGTCGGCCCAGTAGATCTTACGACCGATGGAATCGATGGCCATACTATCGACGCTGCCCATACTTTCGCTCAGTACCTGCTTGATGTGCATTCCGTTTGGCGAGGATCGCATGATCACATCTTCCATCGTATCCGCCCAGTAGATGTCACCCGTATCGGTGTCCACATCCAGCGTTACGGCATTGGATATCGGCGGCAGCGGAAGAACCACGTCGATCTGGTAGTCACTGTCTAGCGAAACCTGGCGGATGTCGGTGCGGTGTGCGAAGATCAGATAATTCGACGGACCGTCCTTGCAAGTTTTGCCGTTGTCCTGTGCGGGAGAGAGAGAGAGAATTGTTAGTAAGCAGACAAGCAATTTGACAACAACGAAGCACTTACGTTCAACTGAATTCCGATCGGACAAGCGCAGGTATAGCCGGTGGGACTCAGTAGGCAGATGTACGAACAGCCCCCATTGCGATTTTTGCAGGGGTTTCGGATATCCGTCCGGTTTCGGTGGAACACCCGGATGTCCATCAGATCCGTATTGTTCGCCAGTACCACCTGTTTATTTGAACCAGTTAGCTTGTCGGCCATCTGAATGCTGTGTGTATCCCAATCCGTCCAGTAGACGTTATTGTCGTACACATCCAACCCGAAGGGGTGCTTTAACCCTTCCATGATCAACCGATTACGACCCGTTCCGTCGAAGTTCACATACTCCAGCAATTTCGTTCCACCGTCGACAAAGTACAACCGGTGATTGTTCGTATCCAGTGCTAACCCGTTCGGCCATTGAAGGTTCTCGGAAACCAGCGTGACCCGACTGCTGGGTTGCCCATCCATGCCGGCTCGCTCGATCAGCGGATTCGATCCCCAATCGGACCAGAACATGTAACCTTCGCTCGGATGAACCACAATATCTCGAGGCTTATCGAGCCGTTCCCAAATTAACAGGGCCCGTTGCTTCCCATCGGTACTGGCCACTTCGATCCGGTTGGTTCCCGCGTCAGTCCAGTAGATCTTGTCGGTGATCCAATCCAGGGCCAAACCGGCCGGTGAGATCAAGTTCGACTTGATGATTGCTTCCTGCTGGCTTCCGTTGATGAACGCCCGACTGATGATGCTCTTTCCGACGTCGGTCCAGTAGATCACGTTCGTCTGGCTACACCAATCGATGGCCACGTTGGACTTGATCCCATCCAATGGAACTACCATATCGACGCCATTGGTTACATTCTCTTGATCCAGTTGACGCACTCGGATGTCCTTTTTGCGAGCGATCAGCAGTAGCTTATCCGGTACGTTGGAGCAGGTTCGATGATCATCCTTCAGCGAAAGACCTATAGGACACGCACATCTCCGGTGGTCGCGGTTCGGTAGACACAGATGCGAGCAACCACCTCGACGGCCACTCGAATCTAGCGGACAGCGATTCGTGTAGTCGGGCTGACGGGATGGATGGAAACTTTGAATGTCCATTGGGAAGTGCAGACCTTCATGGACCACTCGGTAGCCACGTCCATTGACCTTGTTCGCCGAGGATACAGTCCTCGTATGCCAATCGGTCCAGTACATGGAGTCCTCGAACAGAGTCATGGCGAAGGGGTGTGGAAGGTTATTGCTCAGGATTTTCTTGCGAGCCTTTCCGTCAAAGTTGGCACTTTCGATGACGTGCTTCGCATCGGCCCAGTAGATTCGGTTCGTTGTGTAATCGATCGCCAAGCCGTTGGGCCAGAAGATGGACTCCGACACTATGGTCTGTCGATCGGAACCATCCATGAAGGCCTTCTCGATCTTGGGAACCGTGCCCCAGTCGGTCCAGAATATGGTCGCTATGCCGGGGTGAACTGAGATCGCTCGTGGTTTATCCAGATCGTTGGCAGCGATCACCGCACGTAGCGTCCCGTCGAACGTAGACACCTCTACCCGACGAGTTCCCGAATCGGTCCAAAATAGCAAGTCGTGGATCCAATCAACGGCCAAACCTCCAGGTGACTCCAGACCCCATTTGATGACGTCCTTGATGCCGGTCCCATTCAAATATGACCGCTTGATCACGTCGATCGATACATCCGTCCAAAATAGCAAGTCCCTGGCGTAGTGGTAGTCCAGTGCGATCGCATTCGGTAGGCCTTTGACGAGCGAGGTGAATTGATTGTTGCTGAGTGAAACCTGTCTAATGTCAGCTCGGTTGGCCATCAGCAGCTTCACTGCTCCGCCAACGGCCTTGCAGGTTCTCTGATCCGGTCTCAGAACATATCCGGGTTTGCAATCGCAACGGAAGCTTCCAACTGTGTTGATGCACTCCTGCGAACACACCGGATTGTTGAGGATCGTACATTCGTCGATGTCGGTACAGTTGTGACCGTCGCCATGCAGAAGGAATCCCAGACGGCACTTGCATTCCTCCTGTTTGTTGTAGGCAGTTATGCACTCTTGCTGACACAGACTATCTCTGCCGCAACGATGAATAATCGGACACCGCTCTTCGTCCTCCCCGTTGACACAGTCCTTGTGACCGTCGCACACGTTCTTCTGACTGATACAGAGCCTATTGACAGGTGGGAATTTTCGTTAGCTTTATGTAGGTCGAATATACCTTCCGGAATACTTACGGATCATTGGAGCTGTTCCGACTGCTGGAAGAACACGCAAACTGATTGATCTCACACTTGATGTCGCAGTCTTGTTCGTCTTCACCTCGTCTGCAGTCGGCGGTTCCATCGCAAACCCATGAGCGCTGTTGGCATTACAACTTCAATCAGTATCATCTATCCCAAGCCCCAACAACAACACAATCCTTACCAGTATACACCGTCCATCCTTGCAGGTGTACTCATCCGGCGAGCAGGTTCCGCCGACCATTTTGTCCACCGGGCAGCCCTTCTCGTCCTCTCCGTTGTTACAATCCTGCTTATCATCGCACCGCCACTGCACCGGAATGCAGTCTCCGTCGTCGCACTTGAACTCGTTGGACGTGCACATGACCTGCTTCTTGGGGCAACCTTCCTCGTCACTCCAATCGCCGCAATCGTTATCCCCATCGCAGCGGAACCGGTTGAGGACGCATCGACCGCCGGGACCCCCGAGGCCGCCCAGAGTGCCCTTGCACTTGAACTCGCCCTCCGGGCAGTCCTGCATGGGTCGGTCGCAGGAATTTTCGTCCGATCCGTCGATGCAGTCCGCTTCGCCGTCGCACTCGAAGGACGCCGAGATGCAGGAACCATCCCGGCAGCGGTACTCGTCCTGGGTGCATCTGGAAATGGTGGGTAGGGGGGAAAATAAGGGAGAGTTAGAATGGTCTTCGAGGTAGCTGGGCAGTTACACGCCAAATGACGAATCTATCACACGCAACCTTCTCCGATTTGCATGAAACATTGCGTAATTGTTTGCTATGGCCAAACGTTCATATTTTTGTTAGAATTCGGCCATTTTGAATCTCGCAAAAAATTGGAAAAATGGCGTATTCTAGATTTTTTACCAAATCCTAACTTGAAAAGGTCACTTCCATTCGAAATGACACCAGAGGCAAAGTTGTGAAATCATATGAGAAGTCTAAAGAATTTTAGGAGAATTCTGTAAACTTGAAAAAAGGCTAGCTTTATGGAAATTCAGAGATCTCACGGGCAGTCCCAAAAGCTTCAAGAAAGAACAAATTTTCGGGAATGTTTAAAGATCTGTAGATCTTGTGAGAGGGTACTAAGCAGTGCTAGGATCTGTAAATTTCAAATTCTATAAATCCAAGACAATTTTGAAAAACTATAATAAGTTCAGGGTAGTCCAGAGAACTGCAGTTTCCTAGAAAGTATAACCACACTTTCAACTCGTTGCCATGTCTACCCCGATGAAATTTATCAGCTGTTCATCGATGTGTGTTGTTGTTTACTTATTGTTCAACAAGTTTGTGAGCGAAAAGTGCATTTTTTTTTACAAAATCACAAGGGGTATTCAACTCTACACACCTTAATCTGTGCCGAAAGCTGTGCCATGCGCTATGCCGAAAGTTTTCAAAGTAGGCCGAAGTGTGCCAATATCCCATGAGTTTGGCAACCCTGAATTTATAATGACATTTGTGATTGTGTTTGAATTTTCATTTTCGAAGCGGGAGGTGAAGAGAAACTGGAAGTTATCAAACGTGTACAGTGTTCAAGCAATCTCAACCGATCCACAAGATTCTGACTCAATGTCTATTTGAATTACTGATTCCTTTCCGAAGCCGTAACCTGATCGATAGAGGAAGAAAATGCCACCGGCATCCTTTGAAATCCTCTACAACTATATCAAACAACGAACTCGAACGGACGGATAGATTAACGACGGTCATGTAATCGACGCGTCGAGTACCTAGTGTGGACTTAGAGCCATCCCTGCAAGAAGATACCTCTTAATCTCTGCCGGATTGGAATGTGGTGCTTGCTAAACAAAAAAATGCTTAGGGTCGTCAAGCGGGAACCGCTCAGCGATCGGTAGGCCACCCATCGCACTGGGGCCTCTTGCGATTAACAAGTTGAGCTAGTGAGGTGAATCCCCGTGCAAATCAAATGGAGAGTCACCTCGCTAGTGACAGAGTCACACGACTAGTAGAATAGGCCTGGGAGAGACACGTCAAACGACGTGACTATGGTCATCTCACGAGTGACAGATAGTCACACGATTCTAGGTATAAGCCTGAATAGCAAGCAATAATTTCTGAGGAAACACTTAGGGGAAAACGAGAAAAATTCCATACTGGAAGATCCTCGGCAAAACCGATATTCGAACCTGGCCAGAAACCCCTAAGATTATAGTTTTATCTTTATTGATTATTCGGTGCTGGGTTATTATAGTACGTTAGGCTCAAGGCTTTTACACTGATGTACATTTATGAGTTATTCTACCACTGTAGCTCGACTCTCATACAAAATATCCTACCCTATCTTTCGTTCCAAATGTAAATTTGACCATCGCATAATGTGTCAAGAACATCTCCACTGCTGCAATGAAGAGCAACATTTCTGTTGGGAACATGGACATCCCTAACGATCGCTACCAACACCAACACTGCTGAGCTCACTGGTAGCAGCTAAGCTGTCACCCGTAGATGCGCGAACCAGCATAAGAAAGAGGAACAACACATTAGATATGTTCGAGTCCGTCATCTTGTATCGTGTGCGCTTCCCGCAAGTCAATGTCATTTTAATAAAGTTTTATTTGCTAGTTTACGTTCGCGTTCATTTTATTGTACATGATGTACACGGCCACACCGTTAGCGCGTTCGTAACAGTGGCGACGTCGGAAAAACGAAATTAATTGAGAACATTTCACGCGTGTGGCCGAAAGTACGAAAGTGTATCGTTCACGGAAGAGGAGAAGAATTGCGGACGACAGTATGTTTTCACCTGGGAGTGAACCCCAGCAACAATCAGTGCCGGGAAATGGACTGCAGCAGGATCCAGCAGTACAAAACCAGCAACCGGGAGTGAACACCCAGCCGCAATTAAACCCAATCATCCGTCCGCCGATGCTCCAGCAAACACAACCTCACCTCCACCAGCAGCAGCAACAACAACAAAACATTCCATCGATAGATCCAGCGATGTTGCATTTTTTTCAGCAAATGCAGCAGCAGGTGCAACAGCAAATGCAACAACAAATGCAACAGCAGATGCAGCAACAGATGCAAATGCAGATGCAGCAGCAACAGGCGTTTTTGAAACAGCAGGAGCAGATGTTTCGGGCGGCGATGTCGGCTATCAACATTCAAGCGCCGACGAAGCCCGAGCCGGATCAAAACGTCACGTTTGTTGCATGGTACGCGCGTTATCAGGATTTATTCGCCAAAGACGCCGTTTGCCTCGACGATGAAGCCAAGGTGAGATTGCTGCTACGGAAGTTGGGTCCTTCAGAGCACGAGAGGTACACCAGTTACATCCTACCGAAAAGCCCCAACGAGGTGAAGTTCGATGACACGGTGAGTAAACTGAAAAGTTTGTTTGGTATGCCAGAGTCTGTGATTAGCAGACGGTACCGGTGCTTGCAAGTCACAAAGCAAGTCACTGAGGACTACAAAACGTTCGCCTGCCGGGTGAACAAACTGTGTGTCGAATTCGAACTTGGGAAGCTTTCGGAGGACCAGTTCAAATGCCTCGTGTTCGTCTGCGGGTTGAAAGCGGAAAGCGATGCGGAGGTCAGAACCAGGTTGCTGAGCAGAATCGAGGAGCGGAATGACATCACGCTGGAGCAGATTTTGGACGAAGGTCAACGGCTTCTGAACCTCAGGCACGACACGGCGATGATAGAGGCAGCGTCTTCGTCGACAGCAGTGCAAGCATTGAAGCGGAAGCAGTTCGGTGGGAAGCATTCCCGCTCAGGACGAGGATCACCAGGTTCAAGATCCCCGAATCAGCGAGGTGCCGTTCCAGCAACGCCTTGTTGGAACTGTGGCGCCATGCACTATTCCAAGGACTGCCCCTTCCTCAAAAATCGGTGTAAGGAATGTGGTCAGGTGGCCCACAAAGACGGGTATTGCTCAAGCGCCAAAAAGGTGAAATCTCCAGGCAAGCGGTACTCGTCCAAGCCGATGGTAACCAGAAGCGTGCAGGTGAATAACGTCCGGAAGCGTAGGAGATTTGTGAAAGCAGAAGTCAACGGCAGGCAGATCAGTCTCCAACTCGACACTGCGTCGGATATCAGCGTCATTTCCGAGCAATCATGGCGGCATATCGGAAAACCCACAGCAAGTCCTGTAACAATTCAAGCCACTACTACATCGGGCAAACCCTTGAAGCTGGAGTTTCAGTGTTCCTGTGAAGTTGCAATCAAAGGGGAGAAGCATCAAGGTTGATTTTTCGTGGTCAAGCAGCAGCTCAATCTGCTTGGACTGGACCTAATCGATACGTTTAACCTCGGGTCGGTGCCTATGGATCAGTTCTGCAATCAAATCAGCAGCTATCCAACATCGATCAGCTCCCTCCAAGCAGCTTTTCCAGCGGTGTTCAATGATGAACCAGGGTTGTGCTCGAAGGCCAAGGTGAAGTTCACGTTGAGGGAATGTAAATCCCCAGTGTTCTGACCGAAGAGACCAGTGGCTTACGCCATGTGCAGTACCGTCGATGCGGAGTTGGACCGGCTGGAACGTGCCAACATCATCACACCGGTCGATTTCTCGGAGTGGGCAGCTCCAATCGTCGTTGTTCGTAAGGCAAGTGGTGCAATCCGTATCTGCGGTGACTACTCCACGGGCCTCAACTATGCTCTGCAGCCGCATCAGTACCCACTTCCGCTACCGCAGGACATCTTCACTAGGCTGGCGAACTGCAAGGTCTTCAGTCAAATCGACCTTTCAGATGCGTTTTTGCAGGTGGAGGTGGATGAAAGCTGTCGAGAGTTGCTCACCATCAACACACATCGAGGTCTCTATCGGTACAATCGGCTTCCACCGGGAGTTATGGCAGCACCCGGAGCATTTCAGCAGCTTGTGGACACAATGCTCGCTGGACTCAACTGCACTTCGGGGTATCTCGATGATGTTCTGGTCGGCGGAGTCAACGAAGCGGACCATTGGCGCAACCTTCAAGCCGTCCTTCGTCGAATTCAGGAATTTGGATTCACCATCAAAGCGGAAAAGTGCTCGTTTGGCCAGCGTCAAATCAAGTATCTGGGACACCTCATCGACGGGCAAGGTCTGCGTCCGGATCCAGCGAAAGTTGAATCTATCTGCAACATGCCAGCGCCGACAGACGTTTCTGGAGTTCGATCGTTTCTGGGAGCGATCAATTACTACGGGAAATTCATCCCGAGTATGCGTACGTTGCGATATCCACTGGATGAGCTTCTCAAAGCCGACAAGAAGTTCGTTTGGTCAGTGGAATGCGACAAGGCCTTCTGCACTAGACTGATGCAAAATTTGACTTTTTCGCTCCACAGTGCTTAAATGGTTCCAAATCGGGTCGTGATTAGCCCCCAAAAGTTACAACTCATTTGGTTAGAAACAGACTTCACACAAACCATTTGAAGTTTACATGTAAATTAGTATGGGAAATCTCAACTTTTTGTTCATTGCCTTCTAGTCTTTTTCCATATTGAGCTGCAAAACAGCTCGATAACTATTCTTATAGAAAATTTTCTCAGCTACAACTTTGCTCAAGATTGTTTCTATGTAAAACGAGACAGGAAATAGTTATTAATTATTTAAGAGATTTGTAGACTTATGACATGATCAGGCAGCTGCTCTGTAGGCAACACTGTATTTTGCAGTGTGACATAGTAGCCATAATTTTTGTGTCCTATTCAACGCCCCAGAAACACCAATGTTGCCTGCGGAGCAGTTGATTGAGCATGATCATAAGACATCAGGGCATTGAACCATTAATAACTTTCGATCCTTGCATTTAATCAAAAAGTGGTCTTCAGCAAAGTTGTAGCTGGGAAAATTTCCTAGAAGCAAAGCTAAAGGTTTTTAAGGAGACCGATATGGTGAATTATTAGATAGACATGAACAAAAATCTTGGTTTTACCATAGTAATTCCCATACAAACTTCAAATAGTTTGTGCCACCTCAGTTTCTCACCAAATGGGTTCAAATTTTGAGAGGTTAGTCAGGATCCGATTTGGAATCGTTTAAGTATTGTGGAGCGAAAATTTCAAATTTTGCATCACTCTATTCTGCACCTTCAAGCAGATTCTCACTTCAGATTTGCTTCTGACGCACTACAACCCGCAACGCGAGATAGTGGTAGCAGCGGATGCGTCATCGGTTGGAGTTGGTGCGACAAGTTTCCAAACGGGTCGATTAAGGTCGTGCAGTACGCTTCTAGAGCACTGGCAGCCGCCGAGCAAGCCTACAGTCAGCCAGACCGTGAGGGGCTCGCGATTATCTTCGCTGTGACCAAGTTCCACAAGATGCTGTTTGGTCGGAGCTTCACACTACATACTGATCATGCTCCACTTCTTCGGATCTTCGGGTCGAAAAATGGCATCCCAGTCTATTGGCGTCTTGCAGTGAAACTTTTCCAAGCTTTCGCCTCCTACATTTCGAAGTGAGAACTACTAGAAGGAGGATAGTTTCCAAATTTTCCAAGTAAAACAGACGATTTTTAGGGCAAATCGGTCGATAAAGAAAAACTAATAATTTCCCGTGGAAACTTTTGCTTGAATCGTGTAAGAAAACGTGTTTGAAAACTTATTGTTATTATTTCGGTATGGATCGGACAGGTTTTCATGGAATATAATGCATAACAAGTTAGCACCCACAGGGAGAGGTTACCTCCTGCGTAGCTGCATTTTTCGGAAAATGGTGAATATGTGTGATTTCCACTAAGATGAAAGTGGAAATTATGTTAATTTACTTAGGAAAGGTTGTATCATGCTGGTGGTAATGGAGAATTGGTTGTATAGGACGCCAATATTCAATAAATGTTCATTTTGGTCTTTTCTAAGCAAACATATTGATACTCACAATTTTCGACGGAAAACGCAACGGAACATGCTTTACTCAACACGCACCATACTATAAAATGGTGCTAGATGGTCTTCAAAGTGATAACAAGATGACAAATCATCTTTATTGTGAGTAATTGAGCAATTTACTTCTGTTTACATCATATTTACGATGCAGCATTGATGGAGCCGCGAAATGAAATGAATATATCTTATGAAAGTTCAACTGGAAAAGTCAAAGATGCACATCAGTCTGATCGTAAAAACGTTTTCTTCTTCAATTCGAATGTTATATTGGAAGGATTTTACACAGGCTTGATGAAAATTATGATTTAACGATAATTTTCACGAATTTTATATGCAGTCTGTCAACATTATCATCATCATGCAGTGGCGACATCTGCGTTGAGCTTTTACGGCAATCTTCCAATACGGCGAACCGGCTACAACGTTGGGCTTTACAGTTGCTGCTCTACGACTTCAACATTGTCTAGTCTAGTCTAGTCTAGTCTAGTGGAAAATGATAGAAATACATTTATCATTTTTCTTGTCATTATTAATGCCTGCTGCACATCAAGGATGTGAAACAAACAATAAAGCGGCCAGGCCTACTGTGTAGCGTTTAGTTAATTTTTGTGGAAGTGAATGTTTACCATGTCTACTTAATAAGTACAGACAGTGGTTAACATTTAATCCACAGGTAATCAAAGAGCGGGGACATACCGTACCAACCGCTCCGTATGCAGGATTTGAAAATAGGCTATATAAATCGTTGGGTCCTAAGTAACATTGGCAGATTCTCTTCGTCGAATTTCTCTTTGCATCCTCACGGCCATGTTAAGATATTCCCAGCTATTTTCAGCTCACAGATCGACGAAAGAAGCTATTATCTATCTTCTAATACGACAAACATGACAAGAAACGGCCCTATACCTAAGTTATTAACGAAAGAGAAAGTCGATGAAGAAAATCGATCAAAGTTACTTAGGACCTAAAGCAATGTTCAGCTTGATATCTGCATTTGTAAACAAAGATTCAAACGTCGATTTGTCGAAACTGTTAGCTAGTCCACGCAAACTAACACCACCATGTTTCCCCCAACAAGATGGGGGTGTTAGTTTCCGTGGGAGAGCCAAGAGTTTCGACAAATCTCAAATTGATGTGTTTATAAAAGCAGATACGCCCTTCGGAAAAAGCATCCTTGAATTGTAGCTGTCCTAACGGCGACGTGATCAAACGCAAGTAATTTTAATGTCGATTTTTCTTCAGCCTCCACCAACACCGATCTCATTCAGAAAAAAAACCTATTTCAATTTTCAATACGCCACACTGTCAAACACGAAAGCACTGTTCCACCCCATCGTCAGAGCAAAGCAGTCCATTATATGTTGGGAGAAAACGGAAGAGATAAAGAGCGAAAGCTCAATTTGAAGAGAGAGAGAGAGAGCGCCCTCTCTCACAGAACTTGCATGCAAGCTCGCTCTCACCCGCAGCCCACTCTGATCGAATGGCGAAACGCATTAAATTTTAGTTTCTTTTTGCGAACTTTCCCTCAAATCCCCTTCTGTGTAGAGCTTTTTTTCAGATTTTCCCTTTGAGCAGCCTCCGCCTATGATTCGATTGGGGAAATGTCGTTCGAAGGTTTATCATTTTCTAGAGGCAAGCCAATCGTATTAAAATACCTAATAATACCTATTTGAGATGTCCAGACTTCTTCTTGGTGAAAAGTTACCATGAATCGATGTGGCGAGCTCGGGCACCACCTACGCAACAAATGTTGACAGAGTGAGCAGCAGTTTCACCTCGTGTCAACTGCGAAAACGCTGCTGGTAGGAAGATTACATTCATCGCTCTCCACCACCGAGCTCGAATGTTCACACAAAGACGAAGACCTTCATCGCTCTACACAGCCCAATCAATGGCTGCCGCTCGCTGCTTTCAAACTCTTCTAACTCTCTATACATAGAATCAAGCAGTGATTCACCGTGATGGATGCTTCTTCGCTTCTGGGCACTTGCCACTGGTGCTTCTATAATTTTTGTTGTTATTATTATTATTGCACAGCAGTGTATCATTCACGCCCACGCATAGCGCCATCGCTCGTGGAAGCTGAAGAATGGAACAAAAAAAGTGTGGGACGACGGCCGGCGGGGACAAGGACGCGTGTCCTATTCTCGGTTCGCATTCATACATTTGCTACAATAGAGATCCTGGCCCTGAGGACGCTCGTGCAAGAGTATCAATGCCGGATATATCAAGAACACGCAGGCAATCGATTTTGGGGAAAATGAATTCATGGCTAATTTTTGCAACAGATGTCGCTAGTAACAGAGTATAAAGTTACGGCGCTTTATTTAGTATGTGCCAACATAAGTATTTGGTACAGGTGTCGGGTAATTATTATAC